AACGTGTAATTTTTTCCCAGCCTGAATTATCAATTTCTCCGGGCCCCGGCTTTTTTGGCGGTGGGGGTGGGGGGGGGGGGGGGGATGCTTCGGGCAATGGGAGAACCTCAAGCCCCCCCCCCGAGCTTATCGCTCCACTCCGTCCTGGTACTCTAGGGGTGCGAGATCAATGGTCTCTATTACGACTCCGGCATGGGTTTACATTTTGAGTACAACCCAACCCCCCATCCCATCCCATCCCAAACGCCTGCATGCACCGTTTCGCACTCTCCCGACTATACTGGGGTGGTACTTTCTCCCGCTGCTGCTTCTACACCAGCGGGGCGACGTAATTTTCCTCGGGAAGGCTTTGCAAATGAACCGGAGGCGATCTCGGCCGGCGTTACAGGGAACCTCGTCGTAACCACCTCGCCTTCGTTGGCATCGACCGTCAGCCCAGAAGACAGGCCTGGCGATGGGCGAATGCACAGCGGCGGAGAAAAAACGAGGGAAGAAACAAACAAGTCCTGTTGTTGCATGTACAAAAAGTTTTTAACAGAAAACTGACTCCGGTTATCCCCGAAAATCCAGTCGATCGACAACCTCCACAGAACGAAAAGAGGGCAGATCTCTGTCTCTGCCTCTCTTTCTCTCTGCCTCTCTGCCTCTCTGTATCTCTGTCTCTCCTGTCTGTCTGTCTGTCTGTCTCTCTTTTCACATCGCAATCCTTCCCTTCCGGCAGTCTCTCTTTTCACATCGCAATCCTTCCCTTCCCGCAGTGCTTCCGTCCCCACCCCCCACGCCCGCCAACTCACCCGCTGCATCGCCGCTCTCCCCCGCGGGCAGCAGCCCCAGACTCGCCGCCTCCGCCCGCAAACCGGCGGCATCGTCCAACCGTCCAGCCATCTCGCACGCTCGGATGGCAGTCGCGAAGCTCACGTAGTCCGGACGTACAGCGTCCCCACCACCGCTGCCGCTGATTTCCCCAAGCAGGCCAACCGCTCGTTCCCATTCCCCCGCATCGCCCAGCGCCGACATAACCGAGTTGAAGCTGACCACGTCTGGCGACACGCCCAGCTTGGCCATTTCCCTCAGGAGCGACAGGGAAAGCTCCCACTGCCCGCTGCGGCCACAGGCGGTCATGGCCGCGTTGTAGCTGATCCCGCTGGGCGTGATGCCGACCGTGGGCATCTCGCGGAGGAGCAGCACCGCCCGCCGGTATTCCCCCGCACGCCCGCACGCCGCGATGGCTGCCGTGTAGGTGGTTACGTCCGGACGCGAGGTTGTTCTCGTTGTCGACGACGACGGGATCTCCAGGCCCACGTCGGCCTCCATCTCTCTCAGAATCCCAACGGCTTCCTCGAAGCGGCCGGCTTCTCCGCAGGCCTTGATGGCCGCGTTGTATGCCCCCACGCCCAGCTTTCCCTCTCCCTTCTTCAGGGCTCTCAGGAGGTTCAAGGCCTGTTCCCACTCGCCCGCGAAGCCGCAGGCGGCGATGGCGGAGGTGTACGACGTCGCGTTCGGGGCGATTTTTTCTGCGAGCATGCCTCGCAGGAGCGTCAGGGCCTCCCGCCACTCCCCCGCGCTCCCCGCGGCCTGCATGGCCGCGTTGAACGTCGCGACGTTGGGTCTGCAGTAGAAAAAGCGGCCCGTTTCCGCCTCTCTGCTGCTGCTGCCGCCGCCGCCGCCGCCGCCGCTGTTTCCGCCACCGCCACCGCCTCTCCTTCGGCCTGATACCGGTGCTGCGGCTGCCGGTACCCTACCTGACCTTGCTGATATCGCGGGACCTTCGACGTTTCTTCGTCGCGCTGTTCCGGCGGCGGCAGCAGCCGCTGCACCCCCTCCCGCCTCTCCTGTCCGCCGTGCCCCCGAAGAGGACCACCACGGAGAAGACGTCGGCGACGACGTCGCCTGCAGCATCTCCCTCAGCAAGCCCCCGGCCTCCTCCCACCGGCCGCTCTTCGCGCACGCCGTGACCGCCGAGTTGAAGCAGACCACGTCCGGCTTGACCCCGGCCTGGGGCATCTCGCGCAAGAACCTGCGCCGGGGATGTTGTTGTTGTTAGGAAAAATAAACACAAACCCAGAGAGACTACCCATTCGAAATATAATCACAGTCGAACGGGATGTGTTGGAGTCTTTGCGGTGAATCGAGGGAAACCGGCTGGGTACTGGGCTTATTTCGAGTCTATCTAAGCCTACACACTGAAAATTGTTTGTTGTTGTTGTTGTTGTTGTCTTCACATTAAATATCGTTCCGGTCTCTGCTCCGTGGCATAGGGAAAAAAACACCAGTAGTCGCACAAGAAAACGACCACCAATGGCATACAGCAATCAATCACGACTACGGTATGCGTTTACTGTCCCCTCCCACACACACACACCTCAACGCCTCCTCCCACTGCCCACCCTCCCCGAGAGCGGTGATCACGGCCGAGTACGACACCGCGTCGGGCCGAAACCCGACCCGGAGCATGCTGATCTCTCGAAAGAGGTCGACGGCCCGCTCCCATTGGCCGGCCCGCCCGCAGGCCGAGATGACGGAGGTGTAGACCATCGAGTCCGGGGTGATGCCCACGATGGGCAGCTCGCGCAGCAGCTCCACCGCGGCGTCGCCCTGGTTGCAAGTGGCGCAGGCGGTTATGGCGGCGCCGTAGCTCACGAGTCCCGGGGCCAGGCCCTCAGTGGTTATCTCTCTCAGCAAGGATATCGCCCTCTGCCACTGCTTGCATCTGATCAAGCAGGGGGTTCCAACAGGGCATCATAAGGTAGACCAGTTCTGACAAGTAGGAGCTCCAAAAGGCACCATAGGCTAAAACCAGTGCTTATGATATAGCCAACCAACAAAAAGAAGCATTGCAATGCTGTACGATAAATAATGCACATGCTACGATATAGAAGTACTTCACAGATGAACCTGGCGAGAAGAAGCAAGAGATGAAGAAAGGGCTATCAAATACCCACCCCGGGATCAGCCTTCCGCTCAATGCCAAAGTTAAGGAAGGTTTATAGCGGGTGTTCCCCAAAGCTCACGTTTTACCCCTCATGTCCTGCATGGTCACGCGACGAGAATGGCCGCATGCCGATGCAAAAAGCACGAGTTCATGAACCAAACCCACGGCGAAAAACACAGCAAAGACAGAAAGACATGCGATGCCGCCAGTTTCCTCGAGAAAAAGGCATGTGGTACACGAGAAAGATATTCCCTACAGCTTATCCTATTGGTCAACAAAGACATTCCCGACAGCTAAACTCCTATTGGTCAACACACCTTCTGAACACAACTCGCGCCTCTATCTCTCTCTCTTTCGCTTTCCCTGGTATCTACGTACGGTTGCAACACTCCAAGAAAACATTCTGTGAATACCTTCCGCATGCGGTGATGGCAGCGTTGAAGCTGGCAACGTCGACTGGAACATCAGGGTCCTCACGCATGTCGCGCAGCAGCTGCAGCGCCATCTCGAGCTTGTCCCCGTTTCCGCACGCCGTTATGGCAGCCCTGAACCAACGAAAACAGCACCCGTGCAGGGTCAAGAGCGCACAACGCGGGGGACGATTTACGTATGTGCGTCTGGAGAATCTGTCTTAGCTCTCGGGTGACCGCTGCAACCTGCCGTCGTGCAATAGATCTACTTAATCAACAAATTCAGGCTCAAAAAGTGGCAAACATCAAGAAATAGGCCAAACAAATAACAGGTGTTTAGACAAAAACCCTGCACTACAACCGATGTCGTCCATGTTGGTTTACCCCACCACCATACAAATAAACGAACCTCGTGCAAAAAGAGTGAAACACGACGCTGAGACCGTTCGAGTGGCAGTGGCACGACGCTGAAACCGTTCGAGTGGCACCCCCTCTCCCCCCCTCCCAGCCTGCAACTGTGCCCCGCCTCTGCCTGAAACCCTGGTGTCGCATTCGTTACCTGTACACGAAGCTATCCGGCTTTATTCCAGCAGCGCGAAGGTCGTCCAAGACACGGAGGGCGGCCTCCCACTCCCCCGCACCCCCCGCGGCGTCGATTGCCGCGCTGAGGCAGTGCAGGTCGGGCTTCAACCCCCCGGCTTCATCGCCGATGGTCTTCATCCTCTCGAGCACCTTGGGCGAAGTGATAGGTCGTCAACGACACAACGCGAGGTTATACGAACGTTCAAGCGACGCGAAAGGATCGTCGCAGGTTGCCCAGCTGTGCGTGTTGGTTAACGCGACGGCACGAATGCAGCAAGAGCAAGGACATACCGCGAGTAGGCGACGTGAGATATCACATTCCCTGGGTTGACCTTCAAAGCTTGATCACCCCACAGAAGAAAGAATGGCGGAGTCGAACATGGCGGTGTTGGGATCGTCTCGTCGAGAGCTTCCCGAAAAAATAAAGTGCCCTGTTCTAAAAAAAAAAGCCACACACACATACGCACACACACCTCTAGCGCCGCCTTGCCTTGGCCGCACCTCCCGCAGGCCGTTATCACCGCGCTCATCGTGTTCACGTTCGGGGTGAGCTCCCCACCGCCCCCTTCCTCCTGCGCCGCCGCCATCATCCTGTCAAGAACCTCAAGGGCCTCCCTCCACCGCTTGCACTTGGACATGGTGGTGATGCACGCGGTGTACATGTACACCGTCATCGGCTCGGCTCGGGGGGCGACGGCCGCTGATGTGGAGGCGGCGGCGGCCGCGGTGGCGGCGGCGCGCCCTTCCGCGGCGTCTAGCTCGCGGAGGACGGCTTTCCAGTCCCCGCTGGACTCCATGGCCTTGACCTATTGTCGTTGCAAGTACCACGCATCAAGAACAGCAGCAGCTTAATGGCAGCACACCCAGATGTTGTTGCTGCTGTGGTGGTTGTCGTTGTTTGCAGGCAAGAAACCCAGGCTCGGCTAGCAATTAGTACGCAGCACGCCCGATTGGTGTTGTTGATGTTGTTTGCAGGCAAGAAACCCAGGCTCGTGTGTATATTGGTTCTTAAAACGCTTCTGCGCGACGCGCAAGAGAATAATGCCTCCTTCCTGCCCATGTCCGTGATGGCTACCGGAAGAGTTTGACACGGCTGCTCAAGGGTTGTTTATACTTGAGTTTATTCGACACGGTTATGGGCGTAAACGACCCAAAAACACGCGTGTTTTCTTTCGCTGGGTCTTGCGGTGTACATACCATGTCACCGCCGTACCATCAACGGTTTAGCGAGGCGAGCGAGGGGGGTGGCTCTTCCTGACATGAAAGAAAACATGAACCGGCTCTCGGTGCCAATACTTAAATCACGGCTCGACTTTGCATGCGTGCTACAAAGGACAATGGAGACAGAAAACTACTGCGGTGGTTTGCCGTGTTGTGATGCTTGCTGAAGTGGTGAAGAACAACAGACTCCGCTGCCGCTGCTGTGTCAAGTTGTATCTAAATAGTGTACATACAGGATTGCATGTGTGTACATGATCTGTGTGAGCGCAGGAAGCGTGCATGGGCTGCAGAGAGCATGAACAGCAGCAGGTACAACAAACATATAGGACGGAGAGACTCGCAACGAACGCTACCACACCCCATGCGAGCTACAAGAGTAGCCGAAAGGGTGGTGGTCACCCGGGGCCCAACTAGGTCAGCCAATCCGGAGATGGCACAGCCGCAGCAGTACACAGCCGTTCAACGACACACACGCACACCTTCTTCACAAACAAGCGAGAGTGCGGGTTGTCCGTGCCCCTCCTTCGCCGGACCTGCGCACCACCCCCAACGCTTTCTGTGCCATTAGGACGTGCCGCGCTAGTACTCCCGGCTCTGGAGCTCCTCCTCGAGTAGCCGCCAGCAGACACGCTCATCAAAGAGACAGCGCGCTGGCTCCCGCTGCTGCTGTCTGGTGTTGTTGCGCCGCACGTCGCACAACCGCCGAGAGCAGAGCCACCACCCCGAGGACGTGGTGTGGCAGACCCGACGCCGTTGTGGTACCATGGTGCTCGCGGCCGAAGGATTCCGAGAAATCCTACCCCTGGGTCGAAGCGTGCAGTCGGGAGGGACACGAAAGCCATGGCATCCAGGGGAGGCTGCTGTGTGCGAGGTTGAGGTGGCCGCTCAAGTGCAGTGCTCAACAGCTCAACAGCAGTAGTGCTCGTGGAGGGGATCGGCGGTCAAGAAAGGAGAGGGGGTATGGGGTGCGGTTTGTCGACACCTGCGGAGGGCCAGCGCAGCATCACACACTTGCGCCGCTGACCTGCGCAGCGCACACGTGCCAACACCACCGGCCATGGCCTTCATCGCGCTTCCCAAGCTGTCCCACGGCAGCAGCAACACCGCCGGCAGTTGGTTGCCGCACGCGACGCAGAACAGATGGCGACCCCCCGCCGTGAGCAGCGGCAGCAACAGCGTCTCGTTTGTTGCCGACACAGGCAGACCACGCACGTCTCGAGCAACCGCTGCTATCATGAGCATGTTAACAGAGCCAGGAGCCGCCAACGTTGCCTCCAGTAGCAGTAGCAGTGATAGGAATCCCTCCCCAGGAGCAGGAGGTCTTGGCGCGAAGGCCTCGACTCAATCTGCCGCAGCAAGGACGAAGAGAGAAAAGGGCAGCAGCAGTTTCTCCCAGCGAGGATCAGCAGCAGGAGGACCGCGCACCGGCAGGGCGCTGTCACGCGACGGCCGCGCGAGCTTCCGCACGAAACTCGCGCTGGACAAGATCGACGCGGTCAGGAAGGACGACTGGAGGAGAATCCTGGTCGAGCTGGACAAGGCGGAGCTCGCGGAGGGGAGGGCGACGACGAACAACGCAAAGGCGCCCGCCGCGGCGGTGTCGACCTTCGTCTACAGCAAGTGCATCTCTCGCATGGCCAAGTGCTTCCGCTGGGGCGAGGCCCTCGACATCTTGGCGAGGATGGCAGAGCTGGGGGCCATGCCTAACTCGTGAGTGATGGAGTCTCAGAAAAATGTTGCGTGGAAAATCACGGAACTGATGCTTGACGTCGGCGAGAATGCACAGCTGGGTTGTTGCCACGTATTGCGACGTGCGTTGCAACCCAGCAGCAGCAGCAGTTGCGTGTACCGCAGGTTGCGGAAGATATCACACCCCCGGGACCGATTTTCCAACTACTCGACGACGACAAGGGTGCCAAAACCAAACGTGTTTTCGGAGGGTTCTCGACAATGACGGCACCAACGCCGCAATTGTCGACACGGTCGCTGTTTTTGTTGCATAGTAATCGAGCTTTGAAAAATCGGTCCAGGGGGTGTGCTATCTTACGCAACCAATTGAAGTCGCATGCATCATGCGTCGTGTTCATGCACCCTGCGGGCGTGTGGATGAGCCCGTCGTCTTGCAAAGCAGCGGCAGCGTTTCACACACCAGTCGTGGTTGATCGGTCTACGCGCTAGAGAGAGGACGGTGACATGAGTAGTGACTGCTTCACTGCTTTGTCCTCAGGGGGATTTGCTGCCGTTCGGTGCCTGCCCTACTGGATCTCACGGACGGTATAAAAGCGTACCGTGTACAACATGTTGTCCAAGGTTTCAAATAGCACGCAGCAACATACATATATTTAGTGCATGTACGATACAGCTTCATCCAATATTTTCATGATATTTTTTAGTCCAATGGGCTCGAATTGATCGGTTGATGCTGTGGAGGTTATGTACATTCAGGGCTTTTCGCTTGAAAGTGTGAATTTATTGCCGTGATTTGAGAGAAATCCCGCTGGAGGTAAGCCTACGTGCTGCTGCTGCTGCTGCTGCTGCCGCCGCTGCGAGGCGGATATACCACCCCGGTAGCTGGCGACGTGCACTTCGCACACAAGAGTAGGAGCAGCAAACAGCGCGTTGTCCTTGCTCCTCCCCAGCCCTTTTCCTCTCTTCCTTGTTTTTTATCACTCTAGAATCAGTGCTCACAGCATCATCCTCCGGGCAGGAGCTCGAATCCTCTCCTTTAAGGCAACCCACCCGCTCTATTCCTCGCAGGCAAACGTCTCCGCCCCGGTCACCCTTGCCACTGCACACTCTCAAAATGGCTATGCCCCCCCCCCCTTGTAGAAGTAGTTCTAGTTGGGGACTTCAATTCAAGAATCGGGCGAACCACGAACCCACACGGAACCATAGGGCAATACGGGGAGGGAGCCACGAACAAAAACGGGGAAGAAATGCTGAGGTTCCTTGACAGTAGCGAGATGAAGGTGTTGAACGGTAGAGTACGCAAGACAGAACCGGAATGGACTAGGCAATGTTTCAAAAAAGGAGAACGATCCATCCTTGACTATATAGTCGTAGAGAATGGGGGGAAAGAGACGGAAGTACGAGTATGCACTACGGATGTAGGCACTACAGACCACGCGTTGGTGTGGACAGCCCTACAACAGAAGAGAGTCATACAGAGTAGGCGACGCAGGAAAATGTACAGATGGAGAATAGATAAGCTAGAAGTAGAAGAAACGAGGGTAGAGTTCCAAGAAGAGATGGCTATAAACGACAAGAAACTCTCGGAGTTGATGGAGGCAATGGGTACACCGAAGGATGCCGAAGGCCGGGACCAGGCCGGGTCTAGAATCATAGAAGGGTGGGAAGAGCTGGTAAACACAACAGCAAGCGGAGTTCTAGGTAGAAAGTTGATAGTTTGTAAGAGAGCAGTGAAGTGGTGGGACGAAGAAATCAAGCAAGCAATTCGAGTACGTAGAGAGTCACACGCAAAATATGCGGCAGGGAAAACAGATGCAGGATGGAAGGAGTATGTTGAAAGTAGAAAGAGGGTGAAGGAGTTGGTCGTGAAGAAGAAGAAAGGGTTGTGGGAGGAAGTAGTCCAAAAGACTAACGAAGATTTTGAGGGGGGGATGAAGCAAATGTGGGTAGGAATTCAAGGGATAGTGGGCAAGAAAAGAGGGGGAGACACGGAAATAACGACACTAAGATCTGCCGAGGGTAAGATGGTAAGCAGTTCTAAAGGAAAGAGGGAAGTACTAGTAGAGCACTACCGCAAACTTGGGACACCCACCACCAACGACAACTTCGACTCGGAGTTTGAGAAGGAAATCAACTCGTGGGCAGAGGAAAACGTTGAAAGATCTCAGAGGGAACGTAGTGATGTAGACGGGTTGCAGGGAGAGTTCACACGAGAAGAGGTAGAGGACTGCGTAGCGAAACTCAAGAATAGAAAAGCGGCAGGGGCTGATGGAATTGTGAACGAGCTTTTGAAACAGGGGGGGGAGGGGATGATTAACATGTTGGTCCGGATATTCAACTGGATATGGAAACACGAGTACGCGCCGAAGAGATGGAGAGAAGGAGTAGTCGTGAACCTGTTCAAAAAGGGGGATAAAGCTGACCCGGGGAATTATAGAGGGATAACCCTGTTGAGCACAGTGGGGAAACTGTTTGGCAAGATGATAGACAATAGAATGGGAGACATGTTGGAGGGGAAACAAAAGATCAGCGAAGGACAAGCTGGATTTAGACCAGATCGTAGTTGTGTAGACCATGTATATACGTTGAGTAAAATCATCCAAGGTAGGAAAGACGCCGGGCGTACGACATACTGTTTCTTCCTCGATATACAAAAAGCCTACGACACCGTATGGCGCAATGGATTGTGGAAAAAGATGTGGGACATCGGCATCCGGGGGAAAATGTGGAGGATGTTGAAAAAGATGACAGAATGCACAAGAAGTGCGGTGATGTTGGATGGGGAAATTTCGAAGTACGTGGATATACTCCAAGGAGTCGCACAGGGCTGTACGATGTCACCCACTCTTTTTAAGATTTACATCAACGATTTGATAAGGGCGGTTGAAGCAGTAAGACAGGGAGTCCAAGTAGAGGGAAAGAGTGTGTCCGGACTGATGTTTGCAGATGATTTCGTGGGGGTATCCGAAACACCAGAAGGGTTGCAAGAACAAATAGATGCGGCGGTAGGATACACACGAAAATGGAGACTGTCGGCGAACGTAGGAAAATGCGCAGTAGTGGTCTGTAACGAAGATAAGAAAAATCCCGTAGAATTCAAATGGAAATGGGGGGAGGAAGAACTACCGGTAGTAGACAAGTATACGTACCTGGGAGTAGAGATTTCGAAGGAGTGCTCATGGGACGCACACATAGCGAAGTTGATTGGGAAGAGTAAAGCTCAGATAGGCAAGATGGACGAGATCCTTACGGACCCACACCTAGACACTAGGATTAAGAGGTGTATTCTCTTGAAGGTGATTGTACCTAAGCTAGAGTATGCAGGAGAGATATGGGAAGGTAACGAAAAGGCCGTCAAGCAGCTGGAAACGGTGCAGATGGCAGCGGCCAAGAAAATACTAGGATGTTCAAGCACAACGAGCAACACTGTATTGAGAGCAGAATTGGGAATGTACTCTCTTAAAACAAAGAGAGACATGCAGAAGTTGAAGTGGCAGTACAAGGTAAGTAGAATGTCGGACGATAGACTACCAGCCATGGTTGACGAGGCAGCTTGGGGAAAAGCGACTCCAGGGAAGAAGGGAATCAGATGGGACAAGGTGGTAGAGAAGGTTTGGAAGGAGATAGGAGACGAGGAGGAGACGTTGGACACGGAAGGGTTCGGGGGGTTCAAGACGAAAGTCAAGGAGATGCTAGAGAGTAGGGAGGAGACAACCCTTCGCAAGAAGGTACGAAGCGAAGACCACTTGGAGATATACGGGAAGTTGAAAGAAGGGATAGGGATGAAGAAGTACTTGGACGGCCCCATGGACTATGCGAAAAAGCTGAAATTGCAATTTCGAGTAGGCGATCTGGACTTGCCAGAACGGAGGAAGAGGTATACCAGCCGTAGGAGAGAGGAAGAGGAGGATAGACACACATGTCCATGTGGCAAATCGGAGGAGAGTAGACCCCACATAGTTGGGGAGTGTGAGTTGTACAGGAAGGAAAGAGAGGATCTCGAGGAGGAAATGAGACAGAGAGGGTGTGACATGGACAAGTTTGGTAAATTAGACAACAGCGAAAAAACGATCGCGATAATTGGGGATAGATGGTGGGCACAAGAGGCCCTAGAGGACGGGGATAAGATGTGCAAGAAATTTTTATGGAGTTTGTGGCAGAAACGTAAAGAGCTCCCAAATGTTGGTGGTGTCTCTAGTAGGTGTAGGAACGGTGCTCCGTCTCGAAAGGGACGCGTGGTCAATGGTCAAATGACTACGGCAAGCAACAAATGAGTACGGCCCCCCCCCCCCCTCTCCTTCTCCCTTTTTTTTTCCCCCTCCTC